ATATATATATATATATATATATATATATATAGTTTATATTCATTTATATTTCAGTTTTAGTTATTGTAGTACATCAAGTAAAAATAAATTAAATTGAGAAGTTGTAATTAATTCTCTTAATTAAAATGGCAACTAGCTGAATTAAAAACAAAAATTATATTTTATTTCAGTTAATGTTTATTTTATTTTTATTTAATAAAATAACTTTTTAGTTAACTATGATTACAATGGTCTAGTCCAGATGGATTAATTCTTGAGTGTTTAATGTAACACAGCCATACTTAAAAACATTTAATTCAAAAACTTTAATTTTTCAGCGGTGCATGAAGTCATTGCTGACAGAATGAGCCGAAGTATAAAAGACTAATTACTTTCACCCCAAATACTAATTAGTTGTAATTTTACATTTTTTTAATTTGCCACGATCCTAGGCTTTGCCCATTTGTCAGTAAGAATTTAAAACACAATAAAATGTAATATGCTCCCTTATTCTTTTATAATTACAATGGTCTAGTCCAAATGGATTAATTCTTGAGTGTTTAATGTAACACAGCCATACTTAAAAACATTTAATTCAAAAACTTTAATTTTTCAGCGGTGCATGAAGTCATTGCTGACAGAATGAGCCGAAGTAGAAGGCTGATCATTGTTCTTACATCACAGAGCTGTGTGTCGCCTCAAACCGACGCCAGCAAGAGCCTTTTATCAGATAAACTCCCCATATCAGACCATGATGTGCAATTGAAAGAAACAACCACTTCCTTTGACCAAATATGGGCCGCTTACGAGCAGCGGGTGGGTCTCTATGATGCTTTAGTGAAGCAGGGTCTGAAAGTCATCCTGGTGCAGGTGGAGGACGGGGTTGAAGAGGCTCTGCTGCCCGAATCTTTGCAATACATCAGCCGCACTAAAGACATCCTCAAATGGAGGCAGAACGCCAGTGATCGGGGGAACAGAAGCTTCTGGAAATACATGCGCTATCGAATGCCTCCAGCGAAACGGCGGAAGAACCAAGAGCTGACGGTGATTTGAGATCTCTTTGACACTCTACACAAGTACCTGAACTCGTTATGAATGTGTATTGATTACACAAGTCAAGTGTGCTGCGAGAAACACAAGAATGCACACTGAGGGGCCGTTCACAAAGAATGCATTTTTCTATTCCAGTGTGCTAGACCGTTATGCTCGCGTCTCGCACATGAGCGCCACGTTTTTAAGACGCCGTGTCAAGTGAAAAGAATTTAAACCTTTCAGCGCCATGCAGCGCCGCTCATCAATGTCAGTTCCACAGCAGTGGACCAATCAGAAGACCCCGGAGGCGGGGCAAGTGTTGCAAGATTTTGTTTACACTAGCAAGTTGGCATGGCAACATGGCGGAGGAGGCATTCTGCGCTGTGCTTTTTTAAAAACTATTCCTGAGCGCTGCCTCTCGCAGTATTAAATGCAAAGATGTGTTCTGTGTGAACGGCCCCTTAGTATGCGAGCTTGCAATGCATGAGTGTGTGTACTTGGGTAGAGAATTTTGTTGCATTTGTGTGAAGAAACTTTGCCAAGTATCTAGTAACTGTGAAGAAAAAAATTTAAAAAAAAAAGACAGGTGATGCAAGTTAACAATGCAGGTCAAATGAACTGATATGTATATAGAAGTACATAGAATTTGTTTTTTGTTTTTTCAGTGGAACTCTGTTTTTCCCTCCATTATTTTTATATACTTTTTTTAATGCAGCATGTTAAACTAGTGCATATGCAGTTGGGTATTTTGTGTTTACAGTTAAGCCAGGAGTTTCTACTCTTTTTATTTGTTTGTTTACTTTTCATTTTTTCTTATTTGTTATTAATTATTATTATTCATATTTTTTCAGAATTATTTAATATAAGAATAAATATAGCGAGCTTTTACAAGTGGCAGTTATTGTGACATGTCAGAGTAAATATTGTAAAATCTTTTTTGAGAAAAACAGTAAACAATATTTTTTTATAAAATCTTGTGACAAATGCTTTTATAGGCTATGACATAAATCAGTGAAAATCTGATTTATGTCATAAATCACTCTCATAAATTGTTAAATATCATACACTGAAAAAAACTAGTATAGAAACTATTTTCACTCAGAAATTTCTAGTAAATTTTACAATTAATTACAAAGAAACAGATATACTGATCTACTATTTAAGCTGTAAGCAATATTAAAACATGTTAGCAATGTGTTAAATCATGTTAGAAACATACTAAAGCAGACTAAAACATGTTACCAAGGTATTAGCAACATATTAAAACATGCATACATGTTAAATCATGTTAGCAACATGCTAAAACGTACTAGCAAACTGTTCAAATATGTTCGCAACATGCCAATTCATGCTAACAATGTGTTAAATCATGCTGTTAACGTTATCAACATACTAAAGCACTAAAACATGTTAGCGACATGTTAAATCATGATATCAAAATGTTACATCATGTTAGTAACATGTTAAAACATGTTAGCAATGTGTTAAATCATGTTAGCAACATATTAAAACATGCATACGTTAAATCAAGATAGCAACATGCTAAAACATGCTAGCAAATTGTTAAAACACGTTAGCAACATGCTAATTAATGCTAACAATGTGTTAAATCATGCTGTTAACATGTTAGCAACATACTAAAGCACTAAAACATGTTAACGACATGTTAAATCATGATATCAAAATGTTAAATCATGTTAGCAACATATTGAAATATGTATACGTTAAATCATGATAGCAGCATGCTAAAACATACTAGCAAGGTGTTAAAACATGTTAGCAACATGCTAATTCATGTTAACGTGTTAAAACAAGTTAGCAGCATGTTAGAACCTTGCTTATAACATATTAATAACATTTCATTGACTTCAAGTAAAAACTTCAAGCTTTTCAAAGTTATTTCAAACTTTCAAACAAGGCTTTTGTCAACCAAACATCAAAGTTATAATTTTTTTTTTTTTTTTGCAAAATTTGCTGTCTAGATTAATTGCTACATTGCTTGCAACTGATAATAGTAAAATAATAAGGTAAGAACAAGTTATTGCAACTATTATGAATGATAAATGTAACTATTGCATGTTTTGAGAGCAATAAAGCTGATCTGAGTGATTTTCATCATTTCGGGGGTTTCCACTGCAGGTCACGTCAAAGATCGCTGGATCACCTTACTCTGCACTGAAGAGAAAACAGGAAGTTCTTGCTCTGATTCTGATATGTTGGTGGATTCATTTCCAGATAAATTCTATGCATGAGCTCTGAACGTGTCATCATATGGCTGCGTTCAGCCGCCTAAACTCCAACAGTGAATGCAAATACATGCATCTATTAGAAACTATTCTCTAGAATGTCTAAATATCTAAACCAGGGGTGTCCAAACTCGGTCCTGGAGGGCTGGTGTCCTGCAGAGTTTAGCTCCAACCCCAATTAAACACACCTGAACCAGCTAATCAAGCTCTTACTAGGCATAACTAGAAACTTGAAGGCAGGTGTGTTGAGGCAAGTTGGAGCTAAACTCTGCAGGACACCGGCCCTCCAGGACCGAGCTTGGGCACCCCTGCTCTAAACGGTCTGTTTTTAGTGAAAATAATAGAATTTGGAGTGCTAGAATCGGTTGCCCGTGTTAAATCTGACCTGTGTTAAATGTTGCGTTAAATACATCACTGCACACTCTCCTCAACAAAACACGTGATTTGAGTCATTAGTGTCAGTGGAGCTAATATTTTGTGATGAGTGCTGAAGTTAAGGTTATGGGTTTGTTCTAGCCACTAACCTTGTAATTATGAACGATAACCATATTGATGCCTGCCTCGACAAGTAATGATCTTCTGTTCCAGATGTATATCACATTACTATTTATTTACTTAGTCTTACTTATTTAAATGTTCTTTCTGTTCTCAATGTCATGTATGTATGTAACAAGAACTCCTTAAAACACACACACACACACACAATCCTTGTGTGTTTGCACCATTTGGCGAATAAAGTTGATTCTGATTCTGATTCTGGTCTCCTGTGATCATTCCTGTGAATCTGTACAAATAGAAGCAGGACAGACTGGATTTGATTAAAACAAACAGATACTCTAAAATAAAATTCATGTTTGGGGGTGGGGAGGTATTTATTTATTTATTGACATTTATACATTTTATTTATTTATTTATACATTTGTTTTTTATATGCATTTATGTATTTTTATTTAATTTGTATTATTATTATTTATTTATATTTTATTTTTTTATTTTTTTGAAGGGATTATCAAACTTAAAGCCTTTACTGAAGCCTTGAATGCAATGTTGCTTTGGATAAAAGCATTTTCCACATGCAGAAATATTAATGTAATGAAAAGTATTTATTGATTTTGCTCCAAAAGGCCCAAAATGTAAACCCTTTTAGCATTTTATGAACTGGTTAAAACTAGTTTGATCCCTTTTATCTCTTCTGATGATATCCTGTTTTCTAAAGCAGAAGGTCAAGAATGAGAGACAGAGTGAAGATTATGTGATAGAAGAGTTGAGTAAATTGCGATAGATCCTCTTTCGTCTTTTCGTATCACACCGGTTGCAAATAACTGAAATAACGTCAGTCATCAGCTTCACTTGAACTCATCCGGAGCCCGTTACATATGCAGACATAAAGGTACCTCACTTTCTTTTCTTTTAGAGTCAGTAATATGGTGCTGAATTATGGTAAAATAGATATAAACTGAAGTTTTACCTTTTAAACTTTGAGATTATATGCTTTGCAGGGATGATGATGATGATGATGTTACAGATCATTTTGCTCCTGACTGAATCTGTTCTGGTCTCTTCATACGCATTAAACTCCACAGGTAAGATGAACTGCATATTAGCACATTATAAAAATGTTATGATTAATTGATTTATAAAATAGAAATTTGTGTTGTTGACAAATTGGCATATTTTAGGTTAAAACAAGATGCTGAGATGTTTTTTTTTGTTCAGCAAAGAAAAACTAATTTGTCCAAAAGTACATTTTGACCTCTTTATTTATTTATTTTCACTTTTTTAATAGATATTAGGGTTGTTTGCATGTGGAGAGATTTTTCATAAAATTCTTCATTTTTCATTTATTTCCAAAAATAAAATCATTTGACCTATTTATTTATTTATTTTAAGGGATTATTGAACTAAAATGCATATGAATATTCATGTGAATTCTGATTATTTTGCTCTTGACTGAATCTGATCTGGTGTCTTCATATGACCTAAACTCATCAGCTAACTTCATATCAGCATATTTGTTATAAAATAATTAGACAGATTTTAAGGTTAAAAGTAGCTATCGTTTGTCCAAAAATAAACTAATTAATAAACATGTTTTTATTAATTTATTATTAAAAAAAAAAAATAGATATTTGTACTGTTGACAAAAGGACAAATTTTTGATTAAAAGTAGATGCTGAGATACTTTTTAATCTGGAAAAAATCTTGTCCAAAAATAAAATAATAGTTAATAAACATTATTCATTTATTTATTTATAAAAAACAAAAAAAGATATCTGTACTGTTGAAGAAGGACACATTGTAGATTAAAAGAAGATGCTGAGATACTTTTTAGTCTGGAAAACTTTTTTTGTCCAAAAAGTATTTTTATTTATTTATTTGAAGGGATTACTGAACTGAATATTCAAAAGCATTCAGATACTTTAGATAATTTTGCTCCTCATGACTGAATGTGTTCTGGTCTCTTCATATGCATGAAAATTTCACATTCGCATATCTGGTTAAAAAAACAGATATGTGGGTTGTTGAGAAATGGATTTTAGGTTGAAAGGGGATGCTGGGATGCTTTTTGGTTGGAAAGGAAAAATGATTTTGTCCAAACTGTTTGGGTGGTACAGTAAAACCACGTCATTCAGACAGCAACACAACAGCTGGACTGAAACTCATGTGTCTCTTTTTTATCAGTTCAGTGTGAAAGACCCGATGCAAAGACGACACGGCGAGTGAGAGCTGGAGAATCCTTATATCTGCCCTGTCCGAATCTCCAGTGCTATGAAGAGACTGAAAACAGATTGCATGTTTGGTTCAGAAACCTCAGCAGAACAAAGCAGGTGGAGCAGATCGGGACGGAGGGGAGCGAGCGCGTCCATTACCACCAGTCTGCTTTATACATCCTCTGGTTAAACCTGAACGACACGGGACGATACATCACACGCTGGTGATCACACACATCCATTCAGCTCTCAATGCACATCCATGTTGTTCCAAACCTGTATGACATGCATTCATTAAATACAGAAGGAAATATTTTGAAAATGCTCATCATAAAGTAA